GCAGTGCCAAGATCTGTAAATTTAAAATTCTATATATTCTATATAAAATATGAAACTCCAGGCAAGTTCAGAAAATCGCAGGGAATTGTGAATACTTTAATGGAAGTTCAATGAGCTTCATGGAAGTATGTATCAAAATTTTTTGATAAATTTCGGGAGCGTCAGCATAGACAAAATAATTTCAAGGCAGTTCAATTAACTTCAGGAACTTTTCGGAAATTTTAAAAACTTCTAGGAAATTCTAGAAAGTCTAGAGTACTTTATTGAAGATTAAAGAAGAACATTGCCATTAACATCAGGAAAGCATGGCTTCAAGCAGCGATAACTTTTGAATAGTCTAGACCTACAGGAATACTAACAAAAAAAAAAGAAAAAAATCGTTTTGTTTTAGTTTTTTAATCTACAAGGAAAAGTGCTGATTACAGTTTATCATCCACGGGATGAGAAGATCTTCATCAGGGCTAGTTTTAGATTAAGATTAAGTCCCATGAGAATGGCCAATTGCAAACACAGTAACTTCTGAAATAAAACATCGTAGGATTTAGATTAGTATTTATAAGTTTTATAGCTAGCAGTTAGAGGGAGTAAATCCCCAATTACAGGGGTGCATTAAAGAGGGCGCATAAATTTGAGATATTATATAGATAGCATATCCAAAATCATTGAATAACCAGATCTTTATCATGACCTTGATCAATCTAAAGTCTTGAAAATATATACAGTGGACTTTATTGAAATTTTTTATCAGCTGAAGATCTTTTGAATACTTCCTGATCAACCTGCAGTTTTGCAAAAAAATCTGACAGACGTCATTTGTATTTATGAACAGTTTGAGATCTTCAGAATAATACTTGATAAATCTGAAGTCTTGAGAAAATATCCAAAGAACTTTACCGAACAACCTCCCGTCTAGGGAGAGTATCTTAGATAATATCCTATAATTTCTACGTTCCCCGGTTAAATTCGTTAAAGTTGTAGAACATATTCTGAACTGCATTTTTTTCTCAAGCATCTTGGTAGAGAGCTATGTAGAGAGAACATCTATGAACTTCACCTCATCCTTTTCTACGTGTGATCTGGAAATATCCCTTATATTAAATGAAGTTAAAAAAAACTTCCAGGAAGTTTATTGAGTTTTCATTTAAAAAAATTACCTGTACTTCTATGAAGTTTCACGCAGTTCTTTGAATTGCTACGTAATTTACTGCTACTCACAAAATTTGATGCATTTTTACAATCTCGTTGATTTTCCACGAAGTTTCTCAAAATTTCCAGAACTTATACGGAATTTTCTGGACTAGTATAATTCTACTGAGCTTCAAAATAGTACCTGGAATTAAAAGATAGTTCCATAACATTAAGGATGTTTCCTGAAATTGAACAAACTTGTACAAAGTTCCCACTTGTGCAATGTGGAATCTTTACAAAATTCCCTAAATTTCTACGAAGTTCTCTGAAGTTCCAAAAATTATGTTGGTAGATCTGCCATCTATGAGTAGTAGGCCATGTATAAACGGTACACACCTAGAAATTATAACTGACTTTGATAATTTTCATCTAAATCCGAACACAGCTGTAGCTGTTCGATAAAATATGGGTAGTTCAGTTTAATTGTTTTAAAACTACACAACAACGAATACTCCAGAGCATTTCCAGGCCAAATAGCAAATAGAATATAAAAGAACTACAAACTTGACCTTCTCCAATTTGCATGAAATTTTTGAATAATTCGACAGTGAGCATGCATAAGGGCGTAAGCGCGATGATCGATTCTGAAATTTCAGTTCAGTGCTGTAACAGATTGTATTTACCATCAAAAGCAACAACGAACGCACCGAGAAATGTTAATCCAAGCGAGTTATTAACAAAAGAGAAAATCGACGAAGAGAATCGTTCATCGCGTTTACGCCCTTATCCATGCTCACTGTCGAATGATTCAAACATTTCATGCAAATTGAAGAAGGTCAAGTTTGAAGTTTTTTTTTAATCTGTTTGCTGTTTGGCCTGGAAATGCTCTGGAGTATTCGTTTTTGTGTACCTTTAAAATAATTAAACTGAACGACCCATATTTCATCGAACAGCTACAGCTGTGTTCAGATCGACGAATCGAATTGACCTCTGAAACAAAGTTGAAGGAAAAAATTACTTTTCTGGAAAAATATACACGGTAAATTTGTTAAAGTAATTTCGCGTATAAATCAAAAAAGTGAATAAAATAATAAAATAAAATAACGCACAACATTTTTGAATACTTTTAATTACAAAGCTTATAAAAATGCTATCTTCTGATATCTTTGTAGTCCAATACTTGAATTTAAAGTGAATTTTAAGAATTTTTTGTTTATTATTTTTTAAGTCTAAATATTGTTTTTAGCGCAAAATTTCACAAAAAATTGTTTAAAAAATAAGTTTACAAATTTGTTGTTTTACGAATTTTGTTCATTTCTATATGTCCAACATGAAAATTTCACAGAAGATAGCATTTTTCGTTAGATAAATTAGATAGCATTTTTTATTCAGAAATATTCAAACATTTGGTAAGGTTTTGTTATGTAAGGTTAGTTATTTTTTATATAAGTTTAATATTTTTTTTTACAAAAGTTTAATCCATTTTTTACCAAAAGTTAGTCGAATTTTTGTACCATGTATATTTGTCCTGGAAAGGAATTATTTTTTCCTGCAACTTTGTCTCAGACATCTTTATGTGATTGGAAGTGACGTTTTAATGTTATTATTTGTTGCAAAATTTCGAATACGCTCAGTTTTTTTGTGGGATTCAAAATAGTCCAAAATTTGCTCAAATGTGAATGATTGACCATTACAAACAATTATAAAAAGTTTCATGCAAATCGAAGAAGGTCACATCAGATCGCTTCGTCATTTGGCGTGGAACTTCTCTTCACAATAATGACAAGATTTCTCGTATCAGGTTTTGTAAACAATGCATTTGATCGTCGATTGTGCGTAACTGGTAGCTCGCACACGCTTACTAACACCACTAGCAGGTAGGGGAAATTTCATCTATCTGATGGTAGGCGTGGGAGAGCTACCAGTTACGCCAAATCGACGATCAAATGCATTGTTTACAAAAGCTGATACGTCCCTTTGAAAAAGTTATCGAGATTTGATCATTTTAATACACTGAAAACAAAACTAACTCAGAGAGTGAGTCACTTTTACTCATTCGAATAGAGACATTTCTAAAAGCTATCTAGCACGCTTTTAAAAAATTCTCCATACGAATGAGCAACAGTTACTTATAACTGAGTAAAAATGACTCACTCTCTGAGTTAGTTTCGTTTCCAGCGTAAGGTTGAGCGTATTTTGAATTTATTTATGAGAAATATGAGAAATAGGAGAAATAGGCTTTAAAATTAAACGCAACGTAACAACCAAACGTTCAGCTGTTTACATTTCGGTAAACAATTACCGAAGACGAAAATAATTTCTGAGTGTTGATAACAAATAATGTATTTATCTAATATACAAAACATTGTATTGTAAAACTTATGATATAACAATACAATCAGTTGTAATGGGACTTTCACAATAACAAAAAAGGGTTTTTAGTTACCAAGAAAAAGCAGGCTTAAATAATTAATTAGACTGTTCAACTGTCGTTGGAATTTTATCGAATTAGCTAATATCTTTTATGCTTGAAGCCCAAAGGATGGGCACTAAGACGAGTCAGAAGTTCTTGTTTCCCATTTCTCTTTCGGTTGCTATGTTGCACCAGTACAGCCATTAAGATTTATCACAGTATAATCAAATAGAGAAATTGCTATCTATGCTTGCTATGCAAGCATCATATGGCTTGTTAAGAATCCAATGGTTTGGAAGAACGTGATTAGCAGCGTTTTTGCAACCGTTCAAGTTTTGTAAATACAATGTTGCAATTTTGTTATCACCTTAATTCTACGTAATCCCACTTTGTTGACACTCTCATTTGCGTCGGTTTTCATTCATCAAAGCTATAAGCAGCCGGCGCCGGTGGTGTAGTGGTAGGCGTAACTGTTTCTCCCCAATGGGTCTGGGTTCAATCCCAGCCGAGGTCGGTGGGATTTTTCTGAGGCATACAAATTTCTGGTCACGTCTTCCTTCGGAAGGGAGGTAAAGCCTTTTGTTTCGACCCATATGTGTTGATGGGTGCGATATCCTACGCAGGTGTGGAAGCTGCTTTCCTGCACATTTGATTGTCGTCAATCGATGGCAATCGATGTCTGTCGGTGATTGGCACTAGGCTGTGGAACAGAGACCGACGTTAATAAAGGATTTAAAAAGAACAAGAAGAAAGGTAAAAACTATGCATACGCAAGGTTGCTGCCAGTCTTTTGCTAAATAAAAGTTTATCAGAGATCTGAAGTTATAAAAGGTTATGATGATATTTTGCACATGTAAGTTACAAGAAGAGGTTGTAAAGTGTGTATTTGACTCTTCATATATTTCCCGATCATAAAATCACTGATTGTGACTCTCGGAATGTGAAAGGTTTTATATGTCAAACACATACTTTACACCTCTTCCAGTAACTTTCAAGTTCTAATACTTTCATAATTACCAAAAACATTTTGTTATAGCAAATGAACGGTTGCAACCCTGTTGTATACGTACTACTCATTTCTCGTGTACAAAGTCTATTTCATTAGGTCACCAATAAGATAATAACGCATTACATTTACACACATACCGTCAATCTACGTATCGATGGAACCGGCACTTGTCTACATATAGTCTAGCTGAGCGCAATTATCACAAACGAAGTCATTCTTCGGAGGGGGTGATGCATAGCCAACGACATTTTTAACAGCCTGCAAAATATGTATGAAAGAAAGCAATGTAAAACTTACCATTGCATATGACGATCATCTCGATCACGATCACCATTCGCCCATAAACATACAAACTGATCGTCATGTTCGAAGTGCGAAGTCACATGTTAATTATCCTCGGAGGTTGCATGAAAGTACGCTGTGCATGTAGTAGCTCGTAGTTCGTAGGCATTCGTGTCGGTCGTCGTCAGTCGAGTTTTAATCGCTGACCAGTTCGGTCTTCGAAGTTCTTGGTGCTTAGCTTACTCTAGTGTTTGGTTTTTCATAGAGGAAAGGGTATGTTTTTGTTATTTTTTTTTGTCATTTACCTGTGTTCTTTAGCTGCTAGGCTACCTGACCAAGAATCGTTATTGTGATATGTGTCATATATTAGCAACATAATGTGCAATTACGTAATATGGAAATGCTATCGAAGCCGTACGCACGGTACTATCTATAGTCTCATTTTGGTGCACAGCAATTGAGATACTAAAATGGAATTAGCAGTGCTTAGTCGCAGTTGTGTGATGTTCGGGCTCTATTTATACATATGCTATATGCTGCATAAACTATAGCAAACAAAACGAGAAATAAGGTTACATTCGTAACCCGAATCGTGTGGCATAGTACTGAGTTGAGTGTTTACTAGCTGTACAACTGTTAGAAGATAGTAAGTGATAACAAGTTTGGCAATGCGCCAGCATCATTTTGCCCAGCCGCCGTCCCCGTGTAGGATGATATTTCAAAACTGTGCTGTAATACATAGATTCCTGAGTTGAGCAAACTCTCAAAGAAGTGAAAGGTTCAAGGTTTTGTCGTGCGTCGTCGTCGTCGTCGTCATCGTCGCGCGCAGATGATCGAAATGTGCATGCTGTACTTTGAACCTGAGTTGAAATGCGCGTGCAGCAGCTCTAAAACCGGCTTATGAACTTACTGATCCGGAACATGAGGAAATTTCCTATGACTAGTTGATGCAAAAAACAAAACTTGTTTCCATAAGTTAACCGACACCTACCACGACCAGCTTGTTCAGCAGTGTGTTGACGTAAGGAACGACGATGGCCGAACTGCTGATAATAAAGCTTTATCAAGGCCAGAGCGCCGGCGTCATTGTCGCTTTGGATATAAACTTGGTTCGGTAACCCTTCCCGGACAGTGAAGATAAACAAACTCGAGCTTATCACACGGCTCACGTCGTCATCATCCGTTACTCTCATTAAGAGAACTCAAAGTCTGCCTATAGTCAGTTCGGCAAGAGAGAGTTAAATCTATAAGCCATAATCGATAAGGATGCACATGTAGTTTGTTTGCTTTACCGAGTCCGAAACGAACTAGGTGCAACTTTTTGATTCACGTGCACGTTGTCAGACAAGCCTAGCATGCAAAATGATGCCTGCCGAATGAATGCGTACGACTTTGAATTCTAAAGGGGTGCGATGTTAATGAATGAATGCATTACTCTTTCTAGGTCAATTTATGGTGGTCTTTGGTCGATTAGATTCACATAAACAACTTAAAACGGGCTGCTTGTTTAAGCATAGTAAAGGCGCGGAAATAAATTCGGCTCGTATATGCGGAATTAACTCACCAATGTGTACATTACCATGATAGGTTCATTTCAGGACAACATTTAAAGAATTCACTAATTGAAACTTAGCCATGATAATACCCATTTTTGGATCCCATCAACCTTGTCCTTAAGGAATTTCAATCAGAATAAGGACCCATGTCAAAACTATAATGGGTTGTTAAGTTTGAAAATTATCTCACAAGTTGGTGCTAGAGATCCGGAGGCAACGTTGTTTAGAAGGCTAAGACCTTTTGGATCGTGAACAGTTTACTGTGACATTCGCTCACTAAAGGGTGTCCACGATGAAATTGCCACACTATGAAATTGCTCTAACTTTTTAACCGTTGGGTAGAATGTTTTAAAGTCCTGTGATCAAAACTCGCGGAAATGGAGTCGAAAGAACAGCAAGATAAAATCTTGCGCATTCATCACGAGAACAAGGATCTCTCGCATCGTTCCATCACTAAAACGTTGGGAATCGCGAATTCCACGGTGTCGCGAGTGATTAAGCGGTTCGAGGAACGGTTGACCACCGATCGGAAGCCCAGAAGTGAAGGAAAAAGTATTCCATACAACACCAAAAATCACAACCGCGTAGTTGGGGCCTTCAACCGAAATCCGAACGCCTCCGTTAGGGATGTGGCTAAGAAGCTACACCTAAGCCGAAGTTTTGTCCAGAAGGCCAAAACTAAGGCTGGGCTTCGAACGTTCAAGGTACAAAAGGCCCCTAATCGCGACGAGAAGCAGAACAAGTCCGCCAAAACCCGTGCCAGGAAGTTGTACCTCAACATGCTGACGAAAGTTGAATGCTGCATCATGGACGACGAAACATATGTGAAGGCCGACTTCAAACAGATCCCCGGCAACCTGTTTTTCACGGCCAAGGATAAGTTCAGCGTTCCGGAGCATGTCCGCACTCAGAAGATGTCCAAATTTGCGAAGAAATTCCTGGTTTGGCAAGCCATCTGCACGTGCGGGAAGCGGAGTGCACCTTTCGTGACCCAGGACACGATGAACGGACAGGTGTACATAAAAGAGTGCCTCCAGAAGCGGCTGCTTCCTCTCCTGAAGGCCCACAACGTCCCAACAATCTTCTGGCCGGATTTGGCCTCATGCCACTACTCCAAGGACGTGCTGAAGTGGTATGCGGACAATAAGGTCAATTTCGTGCCGAAAATGTTCAACCCTCCCAACACTCCGGAGCTCCGCCCCATCGAGAAGTACTGGGCGATTATGAAGCAGCACCTTCTTAAACGACCTAAGGTAGTGAAGACAGTCGAGGAACTGAAGAAAGTATGGGTTTACATGCAAAAAACGGTTGATTCACAGGTTGTGCAGAATCTTATGGCCGGGGTTAAGGCCAAGGTGCGGGCATTTGCGTATGGACTGTAAATAAAATACGAGTTAAATGGTAAAATGAAGTTTAATAGTTATTTCTCGCCGTAGCTAGAAAAGTTCTGAACAGCTAGCTCATACATAAATGGATGAGGGGACTTGAAGTTTTTCTTCAAATCCACAGGCAAAAGAGTGCGCATTTGACTTGCCCTTTATACTGCTGTGGCTGTGGGTTTATCACTACCTAAAGCCTAAAGATGTTATACTAAACACATACTTATTCGAAACCGAACGTTTGATTTGAGAAAAGTCACAGTATTTCATGGATAAGATAGAAAGAGGGCATATTTCCTCAAGAAACAGATACCTTATTCTACATATATTTTTCATGACACTACGAACACGCTGTTAAGTACATAATGCTGATGCATGATGTTTTTTTTTATTAGAGTTGTCCTCCAAATTAAAGAACAAAAGGTGTGCTTAGATCACCACGTAAGATCGTTATAACCCTTCTACTTCGCTGACGTATAAACCAAAATTTTGTTCAATATTGAAAGTACCGTCTTCTGATAAGGAAAACACAACTGCCTGTTACGTTATCATAAAATTCAACTTTCACTCTCTTCTTTGCTTCAGTATTATAAGACGATTTGGCAACGTGATTTGTTTTGTTTACAAAAGCTGCCAACACTTGCCGCGGAGCAAAATGCTTCAGCATTGTGCGTGACCTAATCTTTGTGTACACTACAAGTTAGTTTACGTTGTTTGAATTCTTAGTGATCTGGTCAACTATGTTTCCTTAAATTTCGAATAACATTCCCCCCTATTCTGCGAGTCACGTGACTCTCTCTCACCGGTGAGGTGACAATATTCACCTCGTGTGAGGTGCCTCTCCATTTGATTTGCTTGGAGAGTCACCTCACACGAGGTGACAATTGTCACCTCACCGGTGAGAGAGAGTCACGTGACTCGCAGAATAAGGCAGATTTATTGAATATGAAGTGCATTGCCATGTTTTGCCCTAACTGCGGTCGTGAAAGTGCAACAATGTGAGAATTTTTCGGTTTCCGAAAAACGTTGAACTTCGAAAAAATGGCTGGTGTTTTGCGGACTACCGTCGGATTTTTTGCAGTGTATGTTACAATGATAATAATTTGGTGGTATCTAGTTAAAATGTAATGGTTCTTCCAGTACCACTACGAGCACACGCTATTGTATTTTACTAAAGAAGGTGGGAAACTTTTGAAGCTGCCTTGAGCGATCCCGGTTCATCAGCGCCAAATGCATGTTGTGCGAAAACGATTCCGTGATTTGACGTCGCAGTGCTTTTGACCAACAATATCAAAAACATGCATTTTACTGCTATATATTTTTTATATTTATTTTCTGTTTGAATTTATATCACCCCGATTACTTTTTACAATACTTTCAACTGAAGCATTCGAGCAAACGATAAACATGCTCGTTTGGCTCACATTTTGACAGTTCTCGCTGCTCGATTAGCTCAAAATAACCGCTTCCGCAAATCTCTATATATAGGATTACTAGTTCGTATTTTAATATTCACATCTGATTGCAATTTAGGAACCAAATGTAATAGACTACACTCAAAAAATAAATCACATTTCCGATGGAAAATATCCATTAGAATTTCACATAACTTTCATGTGATCTCATAATTGGGAATCGCACCACGAAATCACATGAACCTTATGTGTCCAATGAAGTTTATGTGATTTATCACATAGAATTCATGTGATCATGTGAATGTTATGTGAATTTCTGATAAAAATCATTAAATTTGTTATTGGAAAAATATCATGTGCGTTCCCAATGGAAATTATATGAAAACTTTTTTCAGTGTATGTATTCGCATTTTTATGTGGTCCTGAATTTGGCCAAGTATGAAATCCAAAATATGTACACAGAACTGACATAATAGGTTACTTAAGCTGTATTTTAAATCAATGTCAAGAAAAATACCCGAGAAGTTTACTTAACAGCTTAACGTAGTCTACGTCAACCATACGGTCGTATCTTGTACACAACCCCACCGATTTTTTATATTCGATTTCAAGCTACGGCGTCCAAAAAGATGATGGAAGACGTAAGAGAATTGAAAGCGGTAAACGTTTAAAAGAAATATTTCAAGTAGATGAAAAACCCACATCTTTTAGACCTTGAGGAATATGGTGGCATTAATCTAATTGCAAACTAATCGAGTGTAAATTTTTGCAGAAGGAATTAAAATCAGCGTCTCCAAAGCTCATTCATTTCAGTCGGTAGCGAACGTTTTAACTGGTCTCCGAGAGAATGAGCGAACTGCCTCTCTGCGAGTGTGGGATGGTTTTTGTTTGCTCTGCCTTTGCCTTGTCGTTTATTTGAGAGGGACGACTCTATCTAAGATGCAGGAAAATTTTTGCTTTGTTGTTGTGAGATGCGCGCACGCTTAGTAGATGGAAAGAAGATTGCTGGAGATTTTGCAGATTTGCTGCAAAAAGGTGAAGAGCGATGTGAGTCGATGGACTTAGATGCAAGAGATAAAAAAAAAGATTTTTCTCAGTCAGACTCAGTTAGATGTCTTGCCAGTAATATTAGCAGTAACATAATGTCCATGTAATTTTAAGATAGTATTCACAGCTATATAAACACATGAACGTTTCCTTGTGATTGAACAAAGTGATAAGATTCTTGCTTGTGACGTGCTCATTGTAAAAATTCCGGCTTTATTTGGTTATTGCGATGGAGTTTTTCCATTCCACATAACTGCAGACATAAATAAATGTCATGATTTTACCATGTTTACCAATGCTTCTCGATCGGTATTCAATGAAACATTGCTCAACTATGCGCTAGGCTATTATTATCGCCAGTAGATTGAACCCATTTGGCATCGATCTACAACGATGTTGTAAGATGTGGGTTTGTGCGTGATGGAATGTTGTTGTTTCGATTGAAATTCTCAGCTCGCTTTCAATCGTTGATAAAGGCAATTTGATTCAATTGTAGCCGATTGATTTCGCCGTTCAATGGGCTTGTATTACAGGAAGACACGTTTGTCAGTATCTCATCTGGCGATCTGAGTACATTTGCAATGGCATGCTCATTGGCGTAGCTAATGGGGGTGCCAGGGGGGCCAGGCCCTCTCCAGAATTATCTAGGCCCCCCTCCAGAATTATCTAGGCCCCCTCCAGAATTATCTAGGCCCCCTCCAGATAAATTGTCTAGCTACGCCAATGGACATGCTCAAGGAAAGGGAAGGTAATGCCTTGCCTGTTTTTTATTGTTGTTGGTGGTGATAAGAAAGTTGGTATTTTTTTTTTGAATACCTAGATAATTATACCTACTACCTATATAGAACACTACGTACATGAAGAAGAAACCACCAATCAAATTGTAAAGTCACTGTCTGCCTGAATTAGGGTTGTTGGCGGTGTGCGATAAGGAATTTGATATTTGGTTCCAACTGTGTCGATAAAAAGTTGTACGTTGCAGGTGCGACGAATTTCCCTTGCACTTTGGACTTATGAGTAACGGAGTCAAGCTTCATTCTACGAATCTACTTACGGGAAACGTAACATATTTTTTGCAAGTCTATACTTATCAAACCAGGCATCAGTAACTGATTATTTATAAACTCATTGTAGATATAAACAAACCGGTGCAAGGATCATTGTACTATACTTCAGCTTTTGACTTTGATTGACAATTCCAATTTATAAGCCTTTTATCGTTTTCTTCTTTTCCCCTAGATGTCTCTTGTGGACACGTTGAAGGAGCTGTACAAGTTCAGTGCAATAGACTATGGCGTGTTTGCGTCGATGTTGATCCTGTCGGCAGCGTGTGGGATCTACTTTGGATTTTACAAGCGAACCGTAAATCAAACACCGGAAAGTAGCGATGACGAGTGCGGTCCCAGCAGGAGCAGTAACACAAGCAATGGAAAACGGATAGCCAGCTTCGGATCGTCTTCGATGGACGAGTACCTGCTGGGGTCTCGGAAGTTGAAGGCATTCCCAGTGGCGATGAGCCTGGTGGCGGGATATATATCGGGTGTTACGATCCTGGGGACACCGGCGGAAATTTACAACTTTGGTACGCAGTATTGGTTGATTGTAATACCGATCCTACTGATGGGAGTGGCCGTTTGTACTATCTACCTGCCGGTGTTCTGCTCTCTGAAGCTGAATTCGTCCTATGAGGTTCGTTGTAAAAGTAGTTCAAACCGTAAAGCAACTTGAAGTTCCCTTTCGTCATTTTCAGTACCTGGAACTACGATTCAACTCATCCGTACGGTCGATAGCTTCTGTGATGTTTGTATTGGACGAGGTAAGTTTCCTGTAGAATTCTAATAGCTTCGTTACAGTAATCCGATCGCGTTTCATTGCAGCTGTTTTTCTTGCCAATGATAATCTACGTACCGGCACTGGCATTCAATCAAGGTATTTAATTAGCACTTCATTAGAATCTAAAACGGCTGCGTCAATGTGTATATAGTGAACACAACGTATTTAGCTACAGGTACAAAGTTGATTGCTTTGTAACTGATGTTTATTTATAAGTACTGACTGAGGAAAGCGAATATACTAATGCACATTGTTCGTAGGCAGTTTTAGTTCCAGAATTTGTCACTTTATATAAATGTTGATTAGCTGCGGATAGAGAATAATTTTAAATACATATTTTCAGTCACTGGATTCAATCTGTACATCATTGGAGCGATTGTATGCGTGGTATGCATATTTTACACATTACTGGTAAGTGCTTTTTTCTCTACTGGCGTTCTTATCAGCTTGAGCTATTTATTACCATAAATACGGTACTTAGATAACCAACAAGCCCATTGATGGCAAAGCCGCTCTAGATTACTCTTAGACCAGTATGTCGCACGTATTCATTTAAGGTGTGCCAAAACCCCAAAAGATAACATTTTCTCGAATGCTACTAGCTCGAATGCCACTAGCCCGAATAGTTTGAAAATAGTCTGATTTAGAGCCCAGTATTAGTAACTTTATAGAAAACTCATATCATTTCTGACTTTAGATATTAGATTCTGATCCTCCATCAATCATTCAAACACTAGAAAAAAAATTTAAAAGTTCTCGAACGAACTGTTCATGGAAGAATGTTTTCTAAAACATTAAATTTTGACGATTATTCAAACTTTAAAATCCTAGTTCTCACCAATTTGCCCAAAGTCTATTTTTAAATCTCAAATAAAAACTTTATTCACAATACAGTACAACTCGAACAGCCATTTGGAGCACTTCGGGGAGCTTTAGATAAGTTGCGAGAACAGCGTAGACGTTCATAAAACTGAAAATGAATAATGACAACGGTAGCAATATTTAGGAAATTTCAGGGATGTTAATTAACTTATGAAAAGATCACAGAACTCAGACTCTTATCACTCCTGGATATTCTTTGAGATCTGGTCCCACGTTGTGGTATTTGAAAATTTATTTTACAGAAAAAGGCTTGATAATCAAGTTTTGAAAATGCTTTAACACTATTTTTGGAAGATCATTAATACCTTATCCCTTCTACTTGCCTTCGTTCCCAGGGTGGCATCAAAGCGGTCGTCTTCACCGATGCCTGGCAGGTGGTAGTGATGTTCATCTCAGTTGTCATCGTGGTTGTCCTGGGCACCATCACGCTCGGCGATGCAGACATTGTCTGGAAGCGAGCGGAAATTGGAGGCAGAATTGATTTCTTCAAGTGAGATCCTACCGCAATGCTTTCCGTAAATATTGGCACCAATTATCGATTTCTGAATTTCAGTGTGAGCTCATCGATGTACGAACGGCAAACTTTCTGGGGTGTCCTGATCGGAGGTTTCTTCTACTGGACGTCGTTCAACTCCGTCAACCAGACCATGGTTCAACGGTACATGTCGCTGCCAAATTTAAAGAAAGCGAAACTGTAAGTTCATTTTGTTTCTTCAAAATCGATCTCGGAACTGAAATTCGGGAAATATTTCACAGATCAGTCGGAATGTTTACAATCGGAATGGGAGTGTTCGTATCCGTTTGCTGCTATGCCGGTCTGCTGATCTACGCTCACTACTACCAGTGTGATCCAACGTCCGTTGGACTAGTCAAAACCGACGATCAACTGTTTCCCCACTATGTAATGGAAATCGTTGGACACCTTCAGGGAATCCCTGGCCTGTTTATTGCTGGTGTCTTCGGTGCTGCTCTCAGTTCCTTATCTGTGGTGCTTAACTCTACCTCGGCTGTTCTGTTGGAAGACATCCTGAAAGGAATGTTCCGTGTTAATCCTAGTCCTAGGGTAGCCAATATCTTTGTTAGGAGTAGTGTGGTGGTACTTGGGCTGGCAGCCATGGGTTGCCTGTTCATTATCGAAAAATTGGGAGGAATTTTGAGTGTCGCAACATCACTGTCTGCCATCGCTGCTGGCACGACCTGCGGAATCTTCACCCTTGGAATGCTGGTGCCATGGAGTAACTCGATGGGGGCTCTATCTGGTGGTATCGCCGGTGCTCTTTTGTCCGGATGGGTTTCATTGGGAGCACAGTATGCCAGTGCTAATGGTGATATCAGTCCGCATAAGCTACCAGTCTCGGTGGATGGCTGCCCAGTGGATATGTTCTACAATAGTACTATTGTCAATCCGGTCTATCCGGATGAATCGGGCGTTTTCTTTATGTACCGTTTATCATACCACTGGATCACACCAATCGGCGTGCTGACGGTTATGATTGTTGGGTCGATCGTATCGTTCTTGACGGGGCCGAGGAATTTGAAGGATATCGATCCAGAACTGATTTCCCCGGTCATTCATCGATTCCTACCGCAGGAATCATTCGGAAACTTTGGATCCGCAAGCAAGGAGGTTCCTATTCACATGAGCGAGGAAATGCAATCAACTTATGGAGTGGAACGATTGGTAAGCATGGTGCAGGGAATACAATTTTCAAAATGGTTACAATTTGTTTATTTCAGAGTGCCAAAAGGAAGCGATCTCCATGAAACGACGGAAGAACGTTCAGCCAAGACAGAATTCCAGTTACTTAATGCATTCACTGTATGCAATGATGGACTTTACTAGATGAGTAGTACTTCGTTAACCGTAATCTCCTAGAGAAGATGCGAGCTGCAATTGGAAATTGCGTTAAGATTTGTACAACAAACACTGGACTGCAAAAATAGTGTGTTTTGCTCAACAACACTTGGATTGAGCAGATGGATTTCTCAGTTTTATATTTATTACAATTAGAGTGGCGTCTTAAAAAAATAAAATAGCTTGATTGAAGGAGACATTTTCTATGTGAAGGGACGTCATACTGCAATTATAGGTACAACATTTCTGTAACTGCCTGTGATACAATCAAAAGAATTGTTTAGTTTGTAAGTAGAGTAGCGTTGTAGGTTTTTAACCAAGTAACTTTTAATCTGTAACGAATTAGTAGCGTGAATAAAACATTTGTAAAAAATCATAGCTCTTGAACTTGTGTCGAACCGAATTCGGTAAAATTTATATCTATGAAGTCTGATATTTCGAGAAGCTCAACATAGTTCAAAATTTAAAAAAAAAAAGGTTGAAAAGTATATAGCAAATTATATTAATCGATATTTTCCCTAACTTGACGGAAATAAAAGTTTTTTTTTCCGTTAGCGTATGTCATACAAATTTCTTAAAATTATCTTCATAACTCGATATACTCCCTAAGTTGAAAGAGCCTTCAATTAAGAATCATAATTTAAACAATTTAAAAATTCTGAGGTTTTAACTGCACAACTCAATTGATGTCTCAATGGCTGAACGAAAGGTCAATTCAAATTTTTTATAATGTCCAAGTTTGCAGATATATCAAGCTGAACAATGCATGAGGTCATAAGTAAAATTATACAGATTCTCTTCGTCGACTTTCTTTTTGAATCTTCACGGCCATGATATGACGTTGCCCAGCTAATTTCAGCACACAAATCGATGAGACAAGCATTTTATACGACAAACGTGGCAAGAATTTTTCAGTACCCAAGTTATTTACGAAAGAATAAGTCGATGCAGATAATCGATCAATGTTACTTCTTATGACTTAATGCATTGTTCAACTTATATTAACAATATACAGTCAACTCTTGAAGGGACCATCGAGTTATAGAATTATCGACTTAGAGAATAAACAAATTTTTTATCATCTAAAATTTTAAGAATAATTCAGAAATGCTCTACTACATGATTTCGAAAAATGGTTCAAGGAACATTTTATGGAAGCTAAGAGCAGCTAATTTATAATATTAAGCCAGTTTGCACAATACACGCAATAGGGCTGCATGAACTAAATTTAATTTGTCAAGATATCAAAGGTTATAGTCATTTTTGGATGTGGTACTATCGCCCTAGTAGTGTCCGAGTAGTCAGAAGCTCAGACTTAAATAAAGTTTGACGAGCTTCCGTTATGTTATGTTTTTAAAATTATAAACACTAAGATATTTGTTCTGCCAATTGGGACGGTCCAGTACTAACTGAATCTTGAAGATTTTTCTTAATCCAGGATCATAGAATTGTCTTTACATGAAATCTCATAATTTATTAATATAGGGGAAATGGATGTAATGTCGGCCTAATTTAAAATGCCCCGAAATTTTCAATAGCGACCAAAAATATCCATTAATACCGTCTCAATGATGCGTTCATATAGATAAAATGGATAAATATCAGATTTTTAGCGATGGGCCCAATCCATTTGATCCATAGGCAAACATTAGAGCCATTTCCCCTATAAAGCATGTCCAAATCCTGAATCTTTATTTTTTTATTTTTATAAAAAAAACCTCAAAATCTTTTTTTTTTTGTTAGAATCATCCTGATACCCTGGAGGATTTGCAGGATTTCTTCAGTATTTTCTGAAGAATTTGCTTGAATTGTCTCAGAATATCCACAGAGTATATCTTAGACATCTTTCTGGTATTTTCTTATAATTTACTCCATAGTACTCTAGAAAATCAACTGCAGAATACTCTTTGAATAAAATATGAAATGCTCTTAAAATTTCTAATAATTTATGCAGTATTACTTAGGAGTTTCCTGAGATTGTTCTGGAAAATTCACTAGGAGTTTTCGTCAGTTAGTGCTTCAAAATCTCGATAATAATCAGCGATATTCAAAATTCTGCTTTGATCATTCATTAGAGCTAACAGTCATCGTCAGCGAATCCAAATACATAAAGCAACCAACGATACAGACAAAACGGTTTTTTTTATCTTTATTTAAGAGATTTTTAGCCATAGGCTAGTTCATCTCTCAGCCAAAACGGTTGCTACGACTACCATGACAAACTTGATCTGTAACAAAGTTTGATCGGAGTGCTAGAAGGATAATGATATATTGCTTGCCTGCTTTGTTGCAATATACATGGATGAGAGCATAGCTTGATCTGAATCGAGAAAAGACATAAAAAAAATTCCCATTAACAACCGTGTATCATCTTCGGCCTTACTTCGTGAAGCAGCCAACAATTTTCTCGTTTCCTTCTACCGCTCCGAGTGAGCTGTGTCGCATGGGTTGCTTGTCATGAATAAAATGGAAGAAGGTTATATCATTATTGCTTTCCAGTTCTGACATAGCGTTTTCATTCGGTTCGTTGATCGCTTGTCATTTAGTCATTTGAAGATATTTTTGATTCCTTGGTCATCGTCAAAGCAAACCATGTCGATTGTCAGTGACTGTCATGTGCAGATTTTTTTGTTAGCTAAATTTGAAAAGAAATTAAATGACTTGAGCAAAACAATTACATGGAGCCGTTAAAGTGAACCAGCATCTACGACCTGAAGTGCTTGGATAACAATAATGTGACTCAGAATGCACGAATCTACACTTTCTGTTATCAGGTGAATGTTTGTCATTGACGAAATAATGAATGAGATTTTTAAAAAGGGTTTTTTGACAATAAATCCTAGGAGGAACTTTATGCATAAAATTTTTGTCGATATCGCGCGAAAGTCTGTCAGTGACAATGACAAATCTCAGCACTGTTTTTTCAGCATTCACTATGAAATATTTCAAGGAATTCCTTCTAAGTTTAGCTTATTCTCATTTCCAAAGTATTCTCCGAAAACGCCCATGGAATAATGCTCCGGATTCATTTTCTCCCAAAATATCCTCGAAATTATCCTCAGAATTCTTCTTTTAATTTTCTTGGATTCCTCTTCGTAATTCCTTAGGAATTAACTTCAGAAATTCATACGAATTTTCATTTAAATTTTATTCGAATCCTTTTTAAGGGTTAACTTGGAATTCTACTCAGATCTACCTTGGTATTTAGGTTTCACATATAATCTGAAGTTCCTTGAAAGCAGATTGCACTTGATGTTTTTTTCTCACAGTTCTACCCAGAACTCCCTTGAAATGAGTTCCTTTGAAATTACCGTCCAATTTCATGAGCTTTGAAAATTATGCAAGGCTCTTAATCTTGATGTTTTTCAAATCTGTGATCATGGAAAATACCTAGGAAATAGGTTCTTGAAAATTTATCCAAGTTTTATTATTTTGAAGTTCAGAATTTCAATAAAATTTGTTCAAATTTAATGATTTTGTAAATTATCCATTTTCAAGAACTTGAAAAAAAAACACAATTCAAGCCTCTGAATTTTAAAATTTATTTTGTTACTGAAGATAAATCGGTTCAGGATCTATTATGTTCAATAGAAGAAAATAGCGAGGAAAATTAACAGCAACGGTGTTGTAGTGGTAAGCGTGATTGCCTCTCACTCTAAAGGGCCTTCGTTCAATCGCAGCCAGCACCACTTGGTTTTTCTGAGGTATACAATTTCTGAAGCCGTTGGCGCTGGTCCACGGTCCACGTGTTGATGGGTTGACAGATAGGGTCCAGGTGTGGGAGCTGCCTTCCTGGCGTCGGTAGCTTTGGTACTCAGTACGGAAAACAAGATCAACGAGGAAAATTTAATGTTTGCATAATAAAATATATTATAGGGGAAATGGATGTAATGTCGGCCTAAATTTCCCCTAATTAGGGCCCATACATAAATTCAGCAATCGACTAAATTTTCAATAGCGACCAAAAATATCCAATAGTACCCTCCCGATGACGCGTTCATCTAGATAAAATTGATAAATAGCAGATTTTTAGCGATGGGCCCAAGCTTAGATCCATAGGTCAACATTAGAGCTATTTCCCCTTTTCTTTAAAAAATCTTAGTATGAGAATTCGAAAATTCCCTGAGCTATGATTTAATTCCCTGAGAATTCCAGGTTTTTCTAAGAAAAATAACATTCCCTGAGAATTCCAGGTTTTCCAGGTAGTAAAGAGTGTCCACATTCAAAATGCATCACTTAGAAGTACTCGCCAAAAATAAGTCTTTCAACCGATTGTCATGAAATGTTCAGATAATGCAATACTATACATAAGCTTACCCGAACTTTCTCTTTAATTCCACCCATAAGGTTTTGTACAATGGTTGAATTGACATTTTTTTTCTGCTTTCAACCATGATTTCAACATTTCCTGCTCCGTAGTGACAACTTTAGGATGCTTACGGAGCTCGTGCTTCATTATAGCCCAGTATCTTTCGATCGACCGCAACTCCGGTGTGTTTGGGGAATTGAGATCCTTTGGCACGAAAAAATCCCTATTCGTCTTGTACCAGAACGTACTTAGAGTATTGACAAGAGGCTAGATCCGAAATTGTAGGAACGTTGTGTGATTTGAGAAACGGAAGCAATCGTTTCTTCAGGCACTCATTCATGTAGACTTGGCCATTAACGGTTGTAGTCTTGCTCCATTTTTCGCACGAACAAATTGTCTGCCAAATCATAAATTTCTTGGGGCGCTTCGCCACTTGCTGTTTCCTGAGGAACTCTGAAGCATCGAACTTGTCTTTTGCAGTCACACACTGGCTTCACGGAATTTTTTTTGAAGTCCGCATTTACGTATGTTCATGCATATTAGACCCAGGTTAGTGACATGTGGTGTGATGGTTAAACTAATTGGTATAAGGTATGTCGAGAAGCTTTCATTCGACTGCCATGAGTTGGAACAGAGTTTTTTTAAACTCTTTATTTGTTCCAAATTCAAAATAAATTACATTTCATTTTAACCTAGGTGCTCCAGTTACTACAGTAACTTCCCAACTAACATTTTCAGCTTTATAAGCCAACTTTTCCAGCGTTGTACTGTAAAGTAGCTGAAACAAAGCTGCAGATACAGCTACAAGCAGAAGCTAGCAAAATATGTTCGAAGAGCGTTTACTCAACTTTTTCACAACCATTATTCAATTTGTCAGTCACACTGAATAACAGCAGCCAATAAACGCTAATGTCACTTCTATGCAAATATTAATCAACTTTCAACTGGTAGCTGTAAAACAAAGCTAATAAAGTTAATATATTACTCAGTTGATGGCTTCTATACAACCAACCACTCTTGCTGAATAACATAAACATCAAAATTGCTTTTTCAACAACTAAACAACCTGTACTCAGCAAATAAACTATGTTAGCACTACTTCGGAAGCATTTTTATTTTTAGACGTGTGCAGTTTTGCAGTTTTT